ATTCATTCATTCATTCATACATTCATACGATTCATACATTCATACATTCAGAACATTCATACATTCATACATTCATACATTCATACATTCATACATGCATACATATATACATATATACATACATATATACATATATACATACATTGCATACATACATACATACATACATACATAGACATATAATTTATATATATATATACATGCATTGACCCGGGAAAATGGGTCCCGGTTTCGTGCCCCCATGAAGACGAATTTGTTTGCAGGGCGCCGAAGCTCAAATTGTGCGCGAAGACGAAATTTGAAGACAAAATTCGGCCCTGAAGGCGAAATTCGGGAAAAGACGGAGTCCGGTTTGGGGCACACTGGAGACGAAATTCGTCCCGAAGACGAAGATTCGGCCCGAAGGCGGAAATCCGCAGCAATCAAGACACATTGAAGAATTTTCTAGGCTCTTGAACGCCTACCTGAAGACGATATTCGGCCACAGAGACGAAATTCGGCCGCGAAAACGAAATTCGGCACTGAACACGAAATTCGAAATTCGGCCCTGCAAACGAAATTCGACCCTGAAAACGAAATTCGGCCCTGCAGACGAAATTCGGCCCTGAAGACGAAATTCGGCCCTGAAGGCGATATTCGGCCTTGAAGACGAATTTCGGCCGCGGAGATGAAATTCGGCAGCGAAAACGAAACTCAGCATTGAAGACGAAAGTGGGCCGCGACATGTGGCCGAAGATAGCTAGAAGCTACTGTAGATGTTGTAGGCCATCAGTCGACTGCTTCGACATGCGACTGCTGCCTGGCGAGTTGCAAGGAGTCTTTGAGGCTTTGGCTCCTTTGTGCAGCTTCAGCAGACCGTGCTGCAACTTTCAAAATCGATGCAGTGCCGGCGCCTCAGTGCCAGAGCTGTCCCAAGAAACCTTTGGCAGCATCAGGCTGGCGAGACTCTGCTCCAAGCATGAGACTGAGACCTCAAAGCTTGGCAGATCCAGGATGTAGAACCGAAATGTGCTGCCAACTTGCGCCTCAGTTGCGTGGACAAAGCGTTGGTGTGTCTAGAAGAAGACATCTCCAAGCAGGAGGTCAGCAACGGTCATGCCTGCAGGGCTTTTGATGTCACAGAAGAATTTCACCAGGCGCGGCTGTGCGGGCTGCAGCTGTTTGTTGGAACCCTACAGCAGATGAAGGTTGGCCCAGAGGACGAGCATGCTACCGGAACGTCTTGCTGTGCCGCGAAAACTTTGCCTGCCACAGGAGCCTGCAAAGCTGCGCCAACGTGCCGTGGCTCTGTGCGGCAAAATGCACTTTGGACTGGGTTTAATTGTGGCTCAATCCATCGCCGGCCCGGGGCCGAATCAGACATCGAATCGTGCGGTTTAAGTGCCAGAAATTACAAAACCACGCGACACCAGCAAACCCCGCTTGAACATGAGCACCAGGTTTTTGACCCATAAACATCTGATGTTCGATCGCAATTTCTGTAGTTTCAGAAATTCCCACCCCTTAGCTTCTAGCTGTCCTATCAAACCGGTGCAAGCAAAATATCAGCGCGTGCTTGCGGCTGTGCTAACCTACATTACCCGCATTTGGTTTATGATTCCTTGGATTGGGTCTGTCTGTGTCTGTGTTGTTGTGTGTGTGTGTCCGTCTATGCATTCATTGTTCAGTTCAGGTATTACAGTATCGTTTTTTCGAGTAATGTCGCTGCTCGAGCATGCATGCTGGCTGATGTCAGCCGCCGAAGCCCAAAACCCGAAACAGCGGAAGTGGATTGCCACGACAGGGCCTGCAAGAACCAAAAGCACATTTTGCTGCTAAGTTGGAATGGAAGCAAAGTCACTCCTGCACCCCCAAAGGTGGCAGCTTGTTCTTCACCAAAGGTAGCCAACTTGACGCAAGGACTACGCGGATTGACACAAGGACCATGCGGATAACAAGTCGTGACAACAGAACACCGCAGCAATTAGACTCGTATTCTCCTCCTTGCTAGTACTACTGCTCCGCTACTACTTCTGCCACCACCACTACTACTGCCACACCATAGCCATAGCCACTGCTGAAGCTGTCACTACTGCAGCAACTGCTAGTGCGGCTACTATTGTGGCGACTTATTCTGAGACTGTTGCTGCTATTCCTATGCCTACTACGACTACGACAACAACAACAAC